GCAATCGCAGAAATGGAATTAGGCGAGGGATGGGATATGGCCATCGAGGTAAGCTATTCTATCTTCAGTATATCTGGACAGAGAGTCGACAGAGGGAGGATCGCGAACTGTTTCGATACTGTTATTTCCATTTCATAGTGATGAATCATAGCAGGAGATGTTTCGGTCCTAACCACGCTTCGCTCATGCAAATTGAACGAAATTCTGTTACAGCTCTCCGCTTGGAATATAGCCGGAAGCAACTTGTTTAGTGTCGATTTGTAAACTCAAGATGTATTTACTGTTAGTGTTTCGTTTATATTTTATACAGACTGTTGAACAAACAGCTTCGCCAACTACCAAGAAAATGAAGTCTGAGTGAAAATAGAAGCTATCATATTAGTATCAATAAACAATGCTTTTGTGAGCAGAATAAATGTTGTCTACCTTCGTGTGTTTTTACGCGGAACAAATATTATACGGTGTCTATCTGAAAGTGAAACTTTTCGCAGTAGCTTTTGGACAAAGACAGTTTTCTTCCATACATCTTTGTTTCTATTCCATAATCCAGTAACCTGTTGTGAAGCAAACATACAATTAATTAAATGAAATTGCATTGTGATGTTGTGAAAAAAGTAACTCCTTTCAACGCAGCGCCCCATCGACCGCCATATTGAATTATACACTGTTGCTACCAAATAATGTCACGTGAACGAAAACTGACGATCGAAGAGAATAAAGAGACTTATCGAATGCGGGGTGTTTCTTTGATTTAACTAGTAACGAAGTTCTTAGGGCAGGCTTTCGAATGGATGTACGAGGAAGATTAATAAAAAGAATTGGTACATGTATTGGGAAAACATCAACTGCTGAATTTGGCAAATTAGCAGTATCTGAGTTACATTGTTCCACTGGCATTCGTTAGGACCTTGTTACAATTAGAAACAGTCCTAAGATGAACTGACTAAATGATTTATGGAGATTAGTTATTCTCGATTCAGTCGTCAGGGAATTTGGAAAACAGACACACCCTCAAGCTGCAATCCGAACGTCGCCGGAAGAGCTTATATTATTGCCAGCTTGGCTTTTGACTCCGGTGCCGTGCCTTTTTGTTGCGGGGAGGCTTGTGTACTCTTTCGACCCCTGAGAGCTATTCTTGCTAGAGCCATGTAATATTGGGAAAGTCTATCATTCCTAGTTTTTCTACGGGATAAGGGTTGAATAAAGCACCCTGGTCCTCCAGATTAGGAATTGTGAGTGTGGCTAACGGCCTCAACACGTTAAAAAGTTCTAACACGATACGAATGGTTTCGGGAGTGAATTGGGTATCTCGGATCTCGGGAATTATGACGGATGACTGGCATCCTCCTTAAAACGTAAACTTAAACTTAAGCTTAACTTACATTTACTGGAAATTCCACGAGTGGCTATACGATGGACTCCAGCTGGTAAGAAAGCAAATAAAGGGGCTAAGCAAAGGAGACATGGAGACGAGCGGTGGAACGAAAGATCGTTTGGCTGGGTTGGAGTCGGCGTCAAGTGTCTTAGTTGGCAAGGGACAGGTGTCAGACGACCTTAAAGAGGCTCAGTCGACACGGTATTTTGAGTTATTTTGGCCACGTACAGAATTGCCTAAATAACAGTTTACTAAGATAGAAAAGCACTAAACAGATAACAATAAACCATAAAGGAACAACGATGGTTAAGGATGAAGAAGATTGACTCGGATTACAAACGACGAACTTGAAAAATTCAGGTTAAACGTTTCAAGATGCGCAAACCAGGAGAAAGCCCTTTTAAAATCCTTTAAGTGCGGAAACGTTCGGCGTGGATTGGCTGATTATCTTGCTCAGTGGTTTTCTTATTTGGCAACGCCTGCAGTAAGTTGATTCAGCGATTCAGCGGATATCGACCTGAAGGGAGTTGGTTTGACGCATCATACCGCGTCATAGCGAATGCTGCAGCGCAATCTTGCAACTGCGCCACTTTTTACGAACCTGTAAAAGAAGGGAAACAATTTAAATACATTCGTTTACTAAGACTATCCACTTTCAAATTTTACTGTGCCTATCGGTTTAAATGATGTAGGGTTGAGCACCAGTTGTGTCAAGAAATGTTCTACAAAACGCTTTGATCCCATCCAGCGTTGTCTAAATCCATTAATCGGTTCTTCTCAGATAGTGAGTCGGTAAGGATTGAAATGGATGAACAACCATCTTGTTTGTTGCCAAAATCAGTTGTATAATTATATATCCTTGAGAAACATATCGTTACAGGTTTTATAAGATGAAGTATAACATTAAAATACCGACCTTAATCGTCGCGAATAAAAGCTGCTTCAAAGTGTTACAAATTAGCGCGTGATCCCCAATTTTTGATCAAGCTCTACTCACTTAAATCGTCTGCACCATTGTAAATCCTTACGAATTAGTAACAATAAAGTATCAGTGCATAAATTCTGGTATTTCCCTATTGAGATGTTATTGAAACCCAAGTAGACGTAAAATGTTCTTCTATTTCCAGCGTCCCCACTAGAAGTGTTTTTTTTTTCTGGTTGATATTCACATGTAATTTGTTAGTCAAGTTTTTCGTTATTGAACTCATCCTTAATTTTCTTGAGAATTGTGAAATACATTAATGATCTCTCATGTAACAAGTTACCTTGTTTACAAACAATACGCCTATTAAATAAGTCACCATGTCAGACCGATTTCAGTGTTTGTCTTTGCCGCTTTGAAAAGTGAATCTGGGGAGTTTCTTTGACCTTGGAAATTGAAACGAGTTCTCAGTAACCCTTTCCTGTTCTTCCTTGTACGCAAGATGCGATAATTGTATGTTAGGTTGATTCGATGCGAAAGTTTTAAAGCAGGACATTTCTCGCGGCTAAATGTAAGGTGTCATTTCCGCAATTGTGGTTTTGAAACCAACTTTGAATTCTGAAATTAAAGAAAACCCGAATATGTATTAACATGAAAATGATTTTTTTTCGGCGTGCGTGAGCACCCATTTTTCCAGTCTCATTAATTTAAAGGCGTAATCTGAGATGCTGATTTTCGCAGCAGTAGGGATGGTTTTGGAGCTCATAAAATCTGCTAGAACAAACGGGGGTCCAGAAAAAATAATATCTAGAAAGCCATTTAGGTCAGTTACGACACCTGCACCCTAATCTGGCTCATTTTGTCAAAAAAACATCGATGCTTCTCAAAGCCGGCCTATGAATAATCTTGTGGCTTTCGCCTACCCGGCTTTGAATTCGTGAAATCTGTAGATTATTCATTGTTTAGGAAAACTTGTCACGTTTCAATGAATATATTCGCACAGCACTGCACTTTACGGCATTTTCGCATTCGTCGAAACAACAAGGCAAAATTAGGTACAATTTATTTCGAACACAAGTATTAGACAATCTACACCAAACTTCAAATGAGTATGATTCCGAGCTTGTGGGGCGTTAACGCTTAGCTGCAAGTGAACGTTCATTATTTTGAATTTGAAGAAATAAAATAATGTTATTCAAAGTAACTTATGAGAATTTCATCTTGAAAGTAAAGACAAAAATGTACCCGGAAAATTGCTGTCGTTGTCAAAAGCTCTACGGGATACAGCAAGAAATGGCAAAACGACGGCTCCTGCACGTTTTAAATTGTTAAAAGGATTTTTGTTTCGCCGAAGAATAGCAAATCAGTTTGGATTGATGTTATCAATTTAGGCAAAGGCGGAAGATGAACAATGAATATGGAAAACGTGTTATAAAAATGAGTGAAGTCTACGTAAATCTTAACCAAGTACTAATGAACCCAGAGAATAGAATCCGTGCCCAAGGTTTATTTACCAAAGTGGTTTTAAGTCTAGTGCAGCATTGTTTGCCATCCCAAAACAACGCACGAAGTTGCTTAATAATTAATTACTCGCCGAAGAAGTCCAGCATAAAATGCTCATTTATGAAAAGGCTGGAGAGATGGGTTCATTAGCAAACCAAAACATTGCGGTCACCAGCTGAGCCCTGTAGTAATAAAGCCATCGCAGCTGCCACCTCGCCAAAATGAAAAACTCAAAATTAACTTTCTTTTTTTGACACTCGCTCATCAAGGGACCAAGTGGCCATAATTTCAAGTGAATTTTCCTAATTATTTCAGAACGTTGTGCTTCATCACTCGGAAAGATTGGACTAAAAAGGCAATTGGTTCGAAGTTGGTTTGTAGTATTTTTTTTTTTTTACTATCGTACAATAACCGGTTTTTCATGTTTCGTCACACGGCTAACCCCAAAGTGACCTCGCAAACTTTTGTTTGACAGGTGGTTTGTATCCGGGGGGGGGGGGGGGGGGGGGGNGAGATTGGAAAACAAGCATTAAAATATTATTTCCATAACCATAAATCTCATCCTAACTAAAGCGGCAATCGCTTTTAGAAATTTCCAAGAAAAAGGGAAACAGAAAGTCAGAGGATTTGACTGTCTGAATCAGGGAGAAATGGTTTGCTGCCTATAGATACGACAATTTATCTTCGTTCTGACTGTGCTTAACAACCTGTTGTTAACCAATCAAGTATGTCTCAAGTAAATAATAACAATAACCCAAAACATGTTCACGGCACGCGCCGATTGGACACAAACGAATTAAACACTGATTGTATTAACACATTACTGCCATTTGAAGATTTAAAACCCCGTGCAGGCACGGGCGGTTCATTTGAAAGGTTCTCGATTACAAGGGAAACTACGAATAACCGGATTACAAATAGAGGCACACTCTCAATTCTTAACCTGAAAAAAAATTCTTGGAAGAAAATATAAAATAATTTTGAAGCAAGCGAAGATGCCCAAGTCATTCCTTTTGCGGCGCCATTTACGACAGGAATGGAACAGCAGAGAAGAAGCTTATCCACCAACAGGTCAGTAAACTACGTATGATATTCTCTTTTCCATGAGTTTTCCGTCATAAGATTGTAGATAAACCCGGTAGAGAGTAATTTTTCATTTAACGTGTGGAAATGAAGCTTTGATGGTTCTTTTCTTACTCGTGGACTGTGCATATTCCAGGACCTTTGCAGTTTTCCCCTTGGGATGGTTTTTCTCCAGAATCAGGCTTTCTGAAGTTAAGTTTCCAGCGTCAGAATCCGACTTTTGAAGAAACATCAGAAACCAATGAGAAGCAGTTGGAAAAGAGTGGACGCAAAGTGGAATACTTTGACAGACAACACGATTACACCAGTGATTTGGCGCCAAATCAAAGTTATAAAGATAACGAGCTGAAGGCAGGTAAACTTAAAGACATATCGAGGGTAGCAGAAGCGGAGTACGTCGGTTCATTAGCGAAGGATAAAAAGCAATCGGGGAAAATTTCGAAAAGGTCTCAATACCGAGGTTTTGAAGAACCAAACAACCTCCGTGAAGGTTCAAAGAAGCTGCCTGCAGCGTGCCAAACTGGTGGAATCAAGCAGCCGTACAAGTGCGATCAATGCGGCAAAATCTTCAAGACGAAGTACACCTTGACTATTCATCTGAAGATGCCATCCCACACGGGTGCCAAGCCGTTTGTGTGCGCCATATGTGGCAAGGGATTTCGATTGTCAAGCACACTCTGCCGTCACAAAATAATCCACACGTCAGAAAAGCCTCACAAGTGTCACATCTGCGACAAGGCCTTTAATAGGTCTTCCACGCTCAAGACGCACATTCGCACCCACAGCGAAATGAAGGAGTTCATCTGCGACATTTGTGGCAAGGGCTTCCATCAAAAAGGCAATTTGCGCAATCACGTACTCATCCACACCGGAGAGAAGCCGTATCGATGCAATCTCTGCGAGAAGGCCTTCAACAAGCTGTCCAATTTGAAGTTCCATATGCACATTCACACGGACAACGCTCCTTACCGCTGCCGTTACTGCAAGACGTGCTTCACTCGAAGATGTGATCTCAAACTTCACATTGCCGATTGCAACCACCAGAGTTGAAGAAGGAAAAAAAACAGTCCAAGCGATTAGGTGACAGTTAATCGCCATTGACACGTAAAGCAAATGGATGGTATGCTGATCAAATATTTATGGCGACAACGCCAGAGACTTGATGAACTTTTCTTGCCAAAACTTTAGTGTTAGAGAAATAGGAAATCGTCTAAGCGTTCGTGAAAACGAGCCTGTATTCTATAGCTAGCCAGGTTTCTTATTCTGATAGGAGACAGACTGCAAAATTTGATTTGTTTGTAATAGTAATAAGTTTGATTTTAGTTACCGCAACGGACAAGCTAAATGCCACATTACTGGAAATTCCATTTGCTTGAATTTTGACTTTTCTTGAGACTAATTTTTTGCCAGGGAAGAGNTTTAGTTACCGCAACGGACAAGCTAAATGCCACATTACTGGAAATTCCATTTGCTTGAATTTTGACTTTTCTTGAGACTAATTTTTTGCCAGGGAAGAGAAGTATCGACTTTCGTATACTCAAGAATATAAGTGCAAAGTGTGGCATTGAAAAATATTAAGCACTGTATTCCAAAAGTAGAAATTTTTGTAAAGTAAAACACGACGCACAGAATTTATCATACTACCCTACAATGAGGGCTGTGGCACTTCGGTAAAAGAAAACGCATTTAGTCGGCAACAGTTGTAAATCGAATGACCTTGAGGGCATGTTTAACTTTTCTGGCAAAGGTATCAACCTCTTTATTATACTCTTTTCTTCGTTTTGCCTTCCAGATATTTGTTTCCTAGTTCACGAACAGGTAAAAAGAACATGTAAAATATCTAAGAAATGCCTTCTTGAGGCCGCAAGGAAACTTATAACTTATTAACAAGTGTCAGACCGTCTCATTAACATAACTAGGCGACCGCAATGATAAATCCTTGCGGCAGTTAAAGAAAAAAAATGGCTGAGGAAAAAGACAGAAAGACTCCTTATCTGGAAAAATACATCAAATCAGCAAATCGAGTTGCGCTGGGAACATAAATTCTTTATTTTCTCGGATGTTTATTGCTCGGAAATGAGAACCACAATAAGATGGCGATTGAACCTTTGTTTTCCTAAACGATCTTCACTTTGTGCCAAAACAAAACTGAAACATTTTTGAAAAGTTGGCTACGGAAAATCACAATAACTCACTTGACCCTACCATCAAGAAGCTTGGATCATGACAAGATATTGAGAATTGGCAGAAATTTGTCGATGCGTTCATTGCTTTAATTTTACCCACTGGCTCTTTTCCGAATTTTTTTTTTTCGCGTTATACCTTAGCAGATCACTTGCGCCTTATCCATTACTTAACAAAACCACCTGAGTCCAACATAACATGGATATCGATCGGCCCTACGCAAAAAAAGAATTGATATCAGTTCCACCGAGTAAAATAAAAGGCATCATAGCAGACAATTGAACATGATCTCAAAATCGTTTTCAGTTTGCTTCTGTGCCAGTGCACTGTTTTCTGTTTTCGTATGCAAACTGTGCTCAAAACAACGCAGGTTGTTTGTACAGTATTGTTAAATCAATCACAAAGGATTTAATTATCAACAATAACAGTTCACCAAGGAACCAGAGATTTTGCACTAAGTGGTGAACTCATTTGTAGTAATTAACACTCGTGGCTTTTGAAAAGAAATCATAATTGATGGAAACAGGTGGAATCAGAAATGGGCCGCTTGCTGATTCTTTCAACCTTGCGAGACAAAGCAAGAAGACAACAAGCGGGCCGCAAGTAAATCAAACGCTTTGAAAATATTGAAAATAAAACTTTTCACGCTGGAAGAACTAACCATCTTTTTCAGGAAGCCAACAAGCTCTGAGGTTGTTACAATTTTGCGATGCTTTTCAGCCATCAGCAATTTAACTTTTGTTCGGAATATCAAAAACACTGTTTAGTGAGCCAATTTTAACCTCCGTGGAGTCGCTCTCTTGTGGAGCACTATTCTTTTTCATGTAACCGCTAACGGGATCAGAGACATTCTCAGCAGATGAGGGCATACTATTATTTTGTTGTAAGTGAACGTTTAATGCGTATTTCTGCACTAACAAACGTTCAAAAATATTGAGCACCGAATTGTTCTACTGGAAAAGATTTAGGACACGGATAGAAAAACAAATGGTATCTTATTTTAAATTATGCCTTTTCTGGGATGATCTCGATCACAGCTGAGACATGAATGGAGTCTTAATCTTTTGGTTTCGCTCCCCGGAGGGCGGCACGATACTATATGGAATGCACTTGGAAGTAATGTGGTAAAAAAAGTTTCCGACAGAGAACACTTGAATATGAAAATTACTGTGAAATTTAGCCAGACGTGGGCGGCAGGGTCACTTAAATCTCCACACGGTGCTTGCCAAAGAAAAAAAGCGAAAAAAATCTATAATTTTGGCCTATTCCATTCATTCAAGAATTCTCAAATGTATGATCAATACGTGACTAGTCTCTCACTTTGAAAAACGCCGTGAGAATACTATTTTGGTGTTTCCTGCACAAGTGATCCACAGGTTTGAATAGAAGACACTTTCATTGGGCTGCTCACAGTATGATATGAGGCAAAACAAACCGAGCATTTTCTTGGTCAGTTGCGTGTCATTTGAGAGGGTGTTTGTTCAAACTGTAACTCGAATTCTCGAAGACAGAGCTCATTTAAAGCTCTTGGATTAAAAAGATTTGAAAAGGTCTAAAGAGAAAAAAAAGATGCTTTATCTACTAGCTTATTTCATATGCAGTCTATAAGTGGAGTCTGGAGCATGCTTTCAAAAGGATAATTGACTTCTTCTGTCTAGAATACCTGTCTTCAGAATTGATTAAGGTGGGCTTAAATTTGGGGGAAAAAATATAAAAATTCATCTTTTGAAATATCATAATAGAAGATTAATCCCTGATTCAGGAAATTGAAAGCACTGATTAAAGACGGTTTATCTTGAAAGGTTTGCAAATTGCACATTGTGCTTTTCATATGAGAAATGTGAAACTTTCAATTTGTTCAATTTGACTGAAATCAAATTTCATAATGGTTGTTAGACTCTGTTAGCTGAGGAAGGTGTCTTCATGGCTTCATATTACACTCCAAAAATAAATCTCAATTAATGGTGAGAAAAATTAAACCTATTCTGTCAAATGAGACTTTTTCAGATGAACGTTAAGGTAGAAATAAATGGTATTCTCGGCAAAAGGTGAATAAAAAAATTCTCCTTTGCAGTCAGACTAAACAAGTTTGAATCAAACCATTAAAAACATTTCAATGTACTAACTTTTTGGCATCCAAAGATACCCAAATGAATAAAAATTGTTTGAACAATTTGATTTGTTGATCGAAGCTGATGGTCTTAATCAAAACTGGTGCTAGATCAATCTCTGTGGAAATCACTTATTTGAACAGCTAATGTCTGCTCAAGAAATTCCAATAAAATAATAAAAAAATATTAATTGTACCTATACGCTTTTTACAGTCTTTAACCGTCTACACAAGCGCCATTCACAATTATTTCTGTGGAACGAATAATGATAACTGATTTATTGTCTTGTGTTAGTTATAGGTCGCGTCGCCGGCATTTCCATATAAGCTTTGAGTAATAACAAATCTGAGGTAAAACACTTTGCAAAGACTGGGTCGCATAATTTTTTCGTCAAGTTACAAAATGTCTGTATATTTTTTGAATATACTTAAATCTCGACACCAACTTTCTGGATTTAGTGTGGAAAAGATTGGAGTACGAAAATAACGTGCTACAGTATTTTTCTCTAAGATACATTAATTACCAGAATAGCGAGCATGACAACCAATTAAACTTGATCGGGAGACAACAAGGTTTATCAAAATTGAACAATGCTGAGACATTTTCTAAACTCAAGTACTTCTTCAGTTTTAACTTTTTTTTCCAGTGGCATGCAAGTCATACAGTCGCAAGTGATTGTCTACAGCAACAAACAGCTGATGGTGTCGGGATCAGGCGCTACTGATTTTCAGATGAGATAATCTGATGCATCATTAAAACCGTAACGGATAAGAGCCAGGGGCCCGTTTCTCGAAAGCCCCGGAAACTTTTCGGGCCCGTAAAGCCATTTTTAGACCATCGGTATCTAAAAACGGAGAAGTGTATACACCTGAAACTTCTTGTATGAAGGGAACTTCTCTTCATATTAAGAATATGTGAATAAAACAGCTCTGTAATCGTAAGGTTCGAGATTCTGTTATGGCTTTACGGGCCCGAAAAGTTTCCGGGGCTTCCGAGAAACGGACCCCAGAAACCATTCGTGCGTTTTCCACTTAAAGTGCGTCAGACAACACTTGCGCAATTAGAATAAGAAGAGTGAATTCTTTGCAATAGTATTCTAAACCTTAATTCAACTATTCACTCCCACGCTCACTATGTTTCGCGAAGGCTAAGCGTTCTCTAGGCAATGGTGACCGAACTTGTCGAGTTTTAGTAACATCTGTGACAAAGGCCGTTGTTTGATCTTTTGTTGATGACTCGGAGAATTTCCGATTCTTACTGCCCAATCAAATAATAGCACGAGCGCTAACGAAGTACTCTTAACTTGTCACCACGAGATAGCAGTTCATCCTATGAAAAGAGAAGTTAATATCGAGACATCAAAGGCAGAAACTTACTCAAAATAGGAGTACTCAACGAGGAAATTTCCAAAATTAATTCGTTTCCGACCAAAACGATTTTTTAACAGTCACCGAGTGCTATTCGGTTGACAATTGACTATCGTGGGAAAATAATATCCGCTCCTCAGAGCCAGCCAGACGAAGATAACAAAATTTATTTCTTTCTCAAGCATCAGGGGCGGGCCAGATTTCTAAATCCTCGCATTTGATTGGCTAATCATACGCACGTGACCGGTCCAGCTTTTTACGATACGGCCCACGGGCCGGATTTTCTCTTCACAGCCTAAATCTCGCTCCTAAAAGTTGGCGGTAATCGTCAATCTTTTGCCTTTTTTATACGTCCATCGACGATTAGTCAACGCAAGCTTATCTCTGTTCACTTTAAAATGGCAAGGAAAGTCACTGTAAGTAAATTCAATTGAGTGTTTTGAAGTTGTGAGAGTTTGCTTGTTTGTAGCTTGGCGCTGTAATGGCGCGTAATCCTGTGTTTTTCTCGCCATAAAATTTGAGTCAATTTCAGTCGAGTTTACCTCTCTGATCGTTGCTGTAGTTAAGAGAATTTCTGTGGAATACACTTAACGAATTTCCTCGCTTTCTGCTATTCAATTTACAGTAGAAAAGTCTGATTTCAAGTGATTTTAAAAGCAACGACTGACAGAAATTGTTTTTGTAGTAAAACTTCAAACTTCGCACGAAATTTCACACMGCAAAAACAATTTTGGAGAACTTAACTGGTGAAATAAATGCAACTGACACAAAGTAGTTCGAAAAAAATCTGTTTTTTTAATACATCTTTCTTTGTCTACTATCTGAGTTACTCGCTCGTTGCCGAGATTTTTTACAAATCGTTAGTAGACAGCGCGCAAACCGATTCAATGACAAGAGCTGCGTAAACCCATTTGTAATCTGTAAAACCAATTTACGGCAGGAAAAAATAGACATGTTATTTGCCGGCTTAGGGTCGGTCCGTATAGTGAAAAACTGTGACCTCGGGCTTGAAAATGCCGCCCTCGGCCTGCGGTCTCGGGCAGCATTTTCAAGACCTCGGTCACAGTTTTTCACCATACGGACCTCCCAGCCGGCAAATAACATATATGTACTTCCCAGCCAGGAGTTGTGTCGGAGATCTTTTTTCCCAGCCAGGAATCTTTATTTTCTACCTTAATTGCCATCAAAATAAAATGAATTTAAATACCATGTTACTCTGTTAATATATACAGACGTTTTACAGAAATAAACCGTGTTCTATTCGAATTACAAACAATACAAATTTTATTGGACAATGAGAATAGAAATTATATAGCAATTACAAACATGTTTTATTCAAGCCTACTTGTCGTGAAGTAGATTTGAACTGAAGTAGGAACAATTTGACCGGTGCACTACTATTGCAGTTGAATGTTGTTCAAAATACAAATCGCAAAATAATTTATTAAAGAAATCCACAATTATGATATGAAATATAACTGAAAAATGGTTAATCAAAGATGAAAGCCGGCCGACTCCATGCGGTTACCAGTTTTTTTTTAATGATTTTCAGTTTTATCTTATGTGTGCTGAAGTATGTGTGAAAAATCCCCTTGTGTAACTAAAGGCAGGTCACTTTAAAGTACTATACCGTGGAAGCGAAGCTAGAGTTGACTTTGTTTTAACACAAACCTTTCCACCTTTTTAATGCAAATTATTCCTTTATCATGTTGACTAGTTTCTAAGCTCTCTTATCGCAAGGTCAACCGATCCTCGCTCTCACACAGAGGCTCGGTTACATTCTACAGTACGGTAGGTTGAGTCTGCCCGCAATAACATGAATTCGCCGTTGCTCTAAATGTAAGTGGACGGCTTGCTGGAATGTTGTTTTAGAGATTCCTGTTCATTGCCCTCGTTATGTAAATCTCGTTTGGTTCCATCCTCGGCTCCCTCATCAACCTCACATTTTTCTGCAGCTTCTTTGACAGCAGGCAGCAGTGACTGAAGTTGTTGTAGAGCAATATTCCAGTTAGTCTCGGCATTGGAATTATAAGTGTAGCGAGTTGATTTTCTCCTTCTTTTGCTGTTCCAAGACCTTGCAAGTCTGTCTTTCAAGCCTTGTAGAATGCCAGAGACCTTCGATAGAACAATACAGATAATTTTTCTTCCGTCTGTAATAATAGCCATGGAACTTAAAAGCTTTCCTCAGCAATTTTACCCTTGGTACAAACCGGAATTCTCCTTTGTTTTGGCGTGTGGTAATATGTGAAAATGAGTCTTAGTCGCAGATTGAGCCAAGGGTAAAACTGATTTTGCACTTTGCGATGTAAAACACTCCTTCAAACCAAAATGCTTCCACATCCAAGCAAACAGTACCAATTCATTACTGCCAGATTCTTTTTTTGAATATTTTTTATTGTTTGGTGATCCATCTCTTTTACCTGACTCGCTTGTTACTGTTATTGTGTTTTCCATTCTCATTACACTCCTGGATAGTTATGCATTGTCATTGCGAGGAAAGATAAGACTTGTCGTTGTTTTCTAATTTACAGGTGAGGCAAAACAAATTAAACTCGTTTAACTTCACAACAGCAGATTCGATGGAAATATACGCAATACAGAAATGACAAATTCGATTTACGTCATATAAAATAATATAGATAAGTAAGAAAGTAATAAATGTACGCTCCACCTGATCGTGTTTCTTGTCTTTCCTCGCCGCCCAGGTCAATTCGCAGAGAAGTGTAAATAAGCTGACTACAAGGCCAAAAACGACAGCGTAAAATACACCAGCCATGTCGTGAAAAAACAACACGTCTCCTGATGAACTGAAGGAAGTTTCTAAAAGAAATAATACGCATTAGACTACCGTAGATGCGTTAATTTTGCAACTGAAATGTTGTTACGTTCATCGTGAATGTGTCCCTGGTGGCATGGAGGAATAGAAATGCCGGTGGAGTGCGACAAAACTAAGGGAAAAGAAGGAGAAGGGAAGAGAGCAAGCGATAAATGGAAGAGGGGATGTTGTTATAATTAGATTTGTTTTCTTGATGTAAAAAGAGTTCTCTGTTATTTCGGTCTTATTTAGCACTTCAGTACCTCCTGATTCCTGCGAAATCTTTTCACATACTCCATGAAACCACCTTTCTGTCAAGAGTTTTACAAATCCATTCTGTCGCAGCTCTAGAATCTTCACACTAAATTGATGGGTGAAGGGTGAGTTCTTTGGAAGTCCAAACCCATAGCCAAACTTGCCGAAAACTCTGCATCGAAATAAAATAGTACAAAAATGGTAATACTGTTCAACACACCATATTTTAGATTTTTGGAATACACGCACGCAGAATAATGGCTAATTATAAAGAAAATTTCAATTACTTTCCAATAGTAGTCAAGCTGTTGCAAGGTTTCTGTTTAGCGTAATATTCCAACCCTGTTGAATCACTTATAAAAGCATAGCCACCCTGTCTTGCTTTTCTGACACCCTCTGTCACGTTTTCCACTAGAGTGTCGTGACGCATCATAAATTCCCACATCTTTGCATACGTTGGAACGCGTGACATTTGAAAGAACTCCATGGTGTGGCTATTTTTCACGCAGCCATACTTTATTGTCGTCTGCGCAGCTAAGTCCTCAAGGCTGTTTATTGGTGTCTCGAACAGGTCCGTGACTAGAAAACTGGCCAAGTTTGCAGTGTATGAAGCACCTGTAGAAACATCAAACGAAAAACAAGTTTAGGTGAAAGATCAGTTTGAAAGAATTCGTTAAGTTTTCTAGATTCACTGAAATAAACTAGAATTAAAACTCCATTTTTTAAATTTGTTTCAGCCTCCAGTTGTTTTATTGCTGCGTTTTAGTCACAACCCTAGTCAGCTGTGAAAATAAGCTTCAACTTCACACTTTATTCTCAAATTCGCAATCGAGGCTGCTTGGAAACAACTATGGAAATATGGGAACATTCGTAACTAGTTCTTGTTTGCAAAGCTTTTGTCAGTATCCCAAACAACCGCTTATGTTTACAACTAATCGGCAAAGAAATGTGTAATTAAATGAAAGCTCTTGAACTCTTTTCGGAAACTGAATCGGTAACTACTGCTTGTTATTTACTGACTCGACATCTTACTTATTATCAACATGGCAAACCACCAGAACGCGACAACAACTCTCCCGGATGTAGACTCTGGATGTGCCACATCGGCTCCCTGTCCAGCTGCGTAAGAAAAAGATGACCAAGTTGATTCAAAAATCCGCAAGCATTCCCGCGTCCGCCAGTGATCCTCTCTCACATTGTTACGATCACGTGACTGCGCTATCCTTCCGTGATAACCACGTGGACTAAACGTGGCGTGTAACCACAAGAAGAAACCAACCAAGATGGTGCTTACAACAATGGCTATCCAGAGGTCTGTGTTAAAAGGTTTAAGGAAGGAAAACACTTTGTAATCCTCGTTGATGTTGTTCTCTATGAGAATTGACAGGCCGAGGTCCATGAATGGCTGAGTGAAATCCACTGCTGTCTGGCGATGTGAGCTGATAGTCAGGGGAGCAACTCCCACGTCAGCTTTCTGTTGAGAACGAGATTGCAGTAAGAGCAACGATATTTAGACGTACATGCAAAGTCAAAGCCAGCCACTGACTCCTAGGGATTTCCTTATTACAAACACCTTAAAAGTATTGTTACTATCCTTTATAAGAATTAACATCTTAAATTGAAAATACAGAGAGAGTGGAGGCATCTGTGCCTTAACCTTATTCAGACCGGAGCTGGCGGCTTTTGAGACCACCACCAACCATAAACAATCGTAGCTTTAAAAGCATCGAGGTAATGAGCTCCAAATTTGTGGCATTTCCTTAAGCGATAATCTGTGAAAACTGGAAAAGTTTGCCGGTAGGACATACCATTGCTCTGGGGGCTTGATGTCTCCATCGCGACTTACTAAGCTCAACAAAGAATGGTGTCATCGCCTACAGTGTATTTTGACAGCCGTCTCCTTTTTCACGTTTAACTGTGTCTCAGAGAGTTTTTAATATTCAGAACTGCCTTCTCTATCGGTTTTGACTATTTCTGAGCCATTCTTGGTGTTTTTTGACGAAGCTGTAAAATTCATAAGATCTTTGATGGCGGATCCAAGATCGCTGCTGTTCGTGATTAATGACATACATTTTATACCATGTGACATCATCATTCCATGGTATGAACTCCAAGCGATGTATGGACTTGCTATAGATATCTCAAGGTTCATTGTCATAGCTTTATTACTTTAATAACTACGGGACGTGAGCCCAAAAGCCTCCCTCAGCTCCCGACCCCTTACCCTTAAGCTTCAAACTTGGCTGACAAAAGCCATTACTATAGACAAAAAAGAGAGGGTTTCACGATTCCCATGTCTCTAAATATTTTGTTCACTTCTTATCAATGTCATCGCTTTAAAAACCCGATATGTAGTTCAGTAATCACATGCTATGGTTAGTCGTAGCAGAACGACGGGTGACCAAAGTTTTGAGAAGATTTCAGTGGATTTTACCGACGCCGTCGACCGTTGAATAAAGTGTTGACACGTACGCCGATTTATTCTATGGTTGGTGACTTTACGGCTATTTGCTTACGATTGGTTCATAAACAATGAAAAACTGGGCCTGTGCCAAAAAGCGTGCACAGGTTAAGCAATTGAAACATCGAATAGCATCATAACAAATAAAGTCAAAAAAATGCTTACTCTCTCAACTAAATATCTTATCAGTCCATTCCACTTTTGACTGAAAATGTCCCATGAACCATAAATATTCTTGGGTACAACTTCAATTGTGTACTGAAACTTCATGTCTTGCTGCAGTCTGTTAAGCAGGTCGATACAAAACCCTGTGTACACTATTTCTCCGGTCTTAGTGACAAGTCGGTCAATAAATGGTGGTTGCTGGAAACATAAGGGAAATAGGTCAGTGTTATATGGAGCGGGTTTTACTGAATTTAATGTCGTAAAACCAAAACTAAAGTTATCACCCTCCCTGGCCAATGACAAGGAACACAGAAAACGCAATTAACCAATCAATACTCGAGGTAAATACACGTAACTAACTGATTGGATGACAAAGTGGCGCGAGATTTTTACGCCAATCGTGTAGTGTGGCAATGCAAACCAATTACTTTTCAACACTCAAGTGAAAACAGCTCTAATCTCAGCTTAACCCGTTTGCTTGAGAATTTAAGTAAAAAGCTTCATAAGCTTGCTTGTGCCGGTTGTGTAAAAGCTGTGATGGTTGTGATAGTCTAGTTAGATAGTTAGTAAGCATGTCAGATCTAAATTTAAGAGCCCGATTGCTCGAGACCTCGTGTTTTTGTTTTAGGGAAACCACAGAGTTCATTGTTATAAAAAATAGTCTTGCTAAAGAAACCTGGCCATCAATTAAAGTAAGAGTAAATATGCTCAGAAAAATTTCCATCGTTCAAATTGATTTTGGATAACTGCTGAACATCTCTTAAGATCAACATACTATCGCAGTGATGACACGAACACTGATGTTTTCAACTGTGCCAGCTCTGTCACGTGGGGTCTGAAGTGACTGCGACAACCATAGAACCGGTTTTTCAGGAAACATGACAACTCCTTGGGATGGACTCCATTTTCCAACCTTGGAATTGAAAACAAAATATAGTATTATTACAGTCATTATATGCAACCTGCGAAATTTGAGCAACGTGACTGGTCATGGTCACTATAAACTTTATCAGCATGAGAGAATTTATTCGAAATACTATAATACCTTACACGTACAAATTCGTCAGTGTCACGAGAGATTTGAATAGTGGAGGCTACTATAGGTACTAGCAAGTGTTCTAGCGTTGAGGATGATGACAACATTTCCGGAAAGGACTCGGAAAGTGAGTGAAGAAGTCGTAACTTTTCACACACTTGCCAGGAATATTAATGCTAGTAGCTTACCTCAACAAAACCGGTTCTACCCAAATTGACAATGTCGTATTCTTTAAATGTTGGCGAACCATCCTCTTTAAATTGCAAGTCGTTCATTATACCACTTGCATTGACCTATAAATAAAAGCTCAGCACTTTTAATAGGGAATTGTATTGTAGGAAATGTTTTCCCCTACTTTTCAGTTATTGTATAAGAAAATTAAATGGTTACTAGCATGGACGTTAATAAGGGGTTGTTCTCTTTTTATATGGTATCATTTTAAAGCAAAGATGTATTTACTGAACGATTATTCCCGCAGAAAAATCTGTTTAGAGCTTGAAATAGTCAATGTGTTTAACGAGATATTAACTGTTTTCGTCTGTTTACAGATATTTACTCTACCGATTCTGATCACTCTACATCATCTTGGCCAAGTGCTACTGTTATCAAAGTTTTTGTCAGTCAGCCAAATGCGAAGAGCACAAGATAAATTGAGGGTCGTTCATTGAGCGCTGCCTGAAGGCATTAAGGACGTTCGCTAAAATGTTCCCACGTAAATATGTTTTCAAACTTGCCATGCAATAGGGTAAAGATCAACTTTTCCCAAAAACGGAAAAGGGAGTCACCGTACTCGCTTTTTAGATAAGGCGCATTGAAGACCATGCGTTCTTAGAAGCTTTCGTTACTTTAAGAAATGAAATTTAGATCAGGTAAACGTACCCAATCTAACACAACTAAGTCTTCTCCACAACATACGGTCCCCAGATATTTTTAAAGATATTTCTTGCCTTTTTTATGTAGTTCATCAGGTCTGCTCCGTTTTTCCAAGGCTCGACTGGTCCCTCGTCAAAGTCAAAGCCGAGCTTCACCCCTCCCACGTCATAACCATCTAGAATCATGAGATGAAGAGCGGTTGCCAATGCCAGGACAGCATCATATGTCTTTCCAGCAACAACCTGCATGACAAGTGTAGGGGACTAAGCTAAGTGATTCTCGCTTGACCACAGCTGCAGGTATCGGGGTTCGTGAGTCTTGAACTGATTTTGTCAGAGTTTAATCGACTACTACTACTTCTTCTGCTTCGACTACTACTTCTACTTTTCATTAACACAGCTTTACAATGCACACACTTTTATGCTAACTCTAGCTACGCCCGGGACTCAAGCCAAGGGTGAACCAGGCGGTATAAAACAACGTACTCGAATGTTAATCTTAAACGAACGCTGCTGACTTGATAAAGCAAGGAGAGATTAACCACTTGAAATCGAGAAAAATATAATAATCTTCAGCAGCAGCTAACCTTGGATCTCTCTAGAGGAAGTAGAAGCCCAGATCGCAAGAACGACACAAACATGTACATAAACTCCAAACACAAAGTTCTAGAATGAAACGTTCCGAATTCAAATGGAAGTGGTTTTCAAGAACCCCGTGTTCCACATACTTGAGTTAACGTGCGCTTGCCAAAACTAAAACGAAATTCAAATCTGCAGGAGGTGATCCTGATTCCGAGCTTTCATTTAAATTCAATTCACGGTGTACAAGGTAGTAAATAGCAATTGCTAAAAGTCCAACCTGGTATTAATGAGTGAACGCGATATCTAACAGCAGAGAGAAAAAGTAGCAGTTGATGGAGATTTCTGGCAGGGTTTCGATTGGGTTAACCGGTAGCCAAAAACGTTTGATTCCTGGTTTCAGAACAGTGGTATCTCACTTAATGTTTTATATTACAAGTTTTGTTCTCCTAAATATTCGTGTTACCTACATACGTACGTCTAGTTCGCCATATTGGTAACTCTTCCATTGTCTTGAGACCTCTTTGTAACGCGAGCCTTCGCCAAATGCCAGTCGTGTTCCTATGACTCCATAAAACTGATTGACAACGAAATCATCGCCAAGGTCCTGCCAGTCCTATGACAATGACAGGTGATTTTTAGAGATAGACCAGAACACACTTGAAAGGTGTGGAAGGTCTTGGCCGAGATACATAACCGACATTTGTGGTAGTAACTCCTGCAGCTAGCCAGTGTGGCTAGCGAGGATGCCATCGATGAGTTTTATGGTCGCTGCAGCAGACCCAGGTTTCACCAGTATCTATACCCAAAGGTGATGTATAGAGCTCATTTATAATCCTGAATCAAGAAAGATACTGCTAGGTGAAGTGACTTCCCTACGGAAACTACTCAGGGTCCCTAGGTATTATTTTACACGACCTCTGAATAGAGAATCCAACGTTTCAAGACTATTACTCATTTAACTACCCGATGCCACTCAAGGGAGCGCTCTCTTAGGACACAGGGACCCAGGAAAAAAAAATTACCCTATCATGGATGGACTCTGGATCGAGCGGCCCGAGTTCAAGCCCTGGATGAGGTCACCGCGTTGTATTGCTGGCCAAGACACTTTACTCTGATAGTGCCTCTATCCACCCAGGTGCGTAAATGGGTATCACGCATACAATCCCTGTGATGGACTAGTCATAGTATCACGTCAAGGGGGGAGTAGAAATCAACTCCTGTAGTATGGAACACTTGTAGTATGCAGGAACGCAGACTTCACCTAAACTTTTCATAATCCCTTGCAAACTAGCTTTTTCTGTACTCGGTTTGAGTTTTACGGGTCTCTTGAACTGAAGCCAAAACTTACCCGATCTGTTTGTGCGTCTGTTATTATCCAGACCCAGTCCCTTGTCATGCCTAAATCGCCAGCTTGCTTTATGATCTGTTTCAGAATATCGATCAGATTGTGTTACGTATGTGTGCAGGGTGTCTAGATAGTCTATGTACTGGCAGACCAAACATTGAATGTGAGCGACGAAAGGTTAAATCACCCAGAGACCCACCGTCTGTAAGTTTTTAAATACATACGTAATTTACAAAATGAAATCGAGCCCTTTGCTACATTCTTGGATATTAGGTTTATGTTAATCTATTTTTAGGTGTTTTGCTCGCGTGACTTCAACACCTTAAAATGGAATTGAGTTGAGAAGAAGCTGTGGTCACACACGTCGGAATATGCAATGTTCGTCAAACGTTCTTGGGATATTTTGCAAAAATACCAGCCATCGATAATGCCTTTTGAAGTAAACGTTATAATCACTTCTCGAAATTTGGTTACCCTCACGAAGAAAAAACATTAACAACTTTTGTCTTCATTGTTGGCGGGGGAGGGTGGAGAGGAGAGGGAGTAAGGGTGTAGGGGTTAAGGCCAAGCCGTTTTTCTGTCAAATACATGAGATGCTGTAAAATTTTACACGAGGTTTTTAGGTAATTTTCTTGCCAAAATTATTAGCAATAGTTTCTGTAACTAAATTATCTAACCTCTCTTGAGTATTTCTTGTAGCAATTCAATACTATGATTCTAGTGCCAGTTTGTCGAATCCATTTTAGTTGTCTACGGACATCAAGTGTAGAGGGGCTTGGGACAGGCTCGAAATGCTCGTGTGCTACAACCAGCCAGCCTCGTCTGTATGCTTCGTCCTTCAGAGCTAACACACCGTTGATTCCTGAAATAGATAAATAATAGATAAGTTATGATAAAGTAGGTTACACAATGTAGCAAGTTTTGACGTCGTCGTCAACGTCTTCGTCCTCGCCTTCAAGTCATCTTCATTTTCTTACGTTGACCATGCAGATCACGCATCAGCAAGATTAAGATTTAGCGTGCGGTAACTGATGGCAAGTGTTTTACGTGTAGCCCAGAGTCAACACAATGCTTTGCTTTTGACCCTGGCTTTTTCTTGTAGGTTACTGCTTAGCAGTAACGTTGGAAGTTGGCCAATGATTGCCTCTGAGCATCCTCGCTATCCATAACCAACTACTGTGGAAAGCTATTTCCTTAAACCCTTATAAAGTGAACATACCGTAATCATCCTTTGACACAAGCAGTGCAAACTGGCTCCAGTTGTAATGCTCAATGATTCCCGCCAAAGCCTGACACTGCACTGTGTCACTGGGACTCATGCGTACGAGATACGGAAAGTTAACAGGTGTGAAGGAGAAGGTTGGGTCAGTTGCCACCGGAGCAAACTGTGGAATATGGAAACCCGAGAAGTATGGTTGAGTATACTTGACACCCGACGACGTCATGGGACCAATGACGGCCACGACACCTTGGTCGACAAGGTACTGAGCTGTAAAAACAGAAATAAATCAATGGATCGAATAAGTGGGCACGAACTTCTGCCCCGGTTTAAAATGGGACGTCTTTTACTCACGTGACCAGTAACCATGCAAATTTATTGGAAGAAATAAACTGAGTTTACACAGGAACAGAATTCAACTCAACTATTTAGACACCAGTATTGCTATCACACGTCAGGTGAAACGGGATCTATGTCTCATTTCAAATTAGATGAAATTGGGAAGCTGACAACATTCAGGAAAATTATCCTATTTATTTGCTAATTGAGAAAAATAGGCTTTTCGATTAGTCGGAAGGTTGAAAAAAAAAAAGGGATTCAACTGCAGTTTATAATTTTCTACTGAAGAGTGTAACCGTCTGACGATTGATCGTTTTTCCCGCATGTAAATGTAATTTGTCTAGATCATTAAGAGCATATGATAGTGAGAAGTCTTACCTGCTTTTAAATTATCAAAGGCATTCATTGGCTTGGTTATGTTGATGACGGCTTCCAGCTGTATTCCAGGGAGAACATTTGGATCCTTGTTGATGTTCGCAACGGCCACCAGGAAAGGGCTAACTGATCTTGAATGCTCAAAGATGGCTCCTTTAAAACCATTAATATGAAAAGGAAGAGAGATCAAGCTCCTAAACACAGGTAACCTGAACGTAATATGCTATTAATAAAATATGCTATTAATAAAATACTTCATGAATTGGCGAGGAAATACGTAGGGATGGATTTCAAGGCTGCATCAATAAAATGCATTTAGGTTAAGGTCAAAGTGAACTATATAGCTATTCCATAGTGGCGGAAAAGGTGATAATATAAGTTTATATAACCTTGTTTTCTTTCAGAGCTACTTTCTGTTGACAAAGTGTTACAGTTGGTAACGCCTGCAGCTAAATTACCGTTTAAAAACTCTGCCAAGTATTTCAAGGTGCATAAGGGTGCGAACATAGCACAATTTTCGAACAGTGGATAAGGTGATGTCAGACTCCATCGACTGAAAGTATTTGTATGGAAAGTTAATTAATTTGATAACATCTTCAACCTACCGACTTTCAGCACTTGAGCATTCAAAGCGTGATTTGATAAACTTGAGAAAATCACGAAGTAAATGAGCAAATAACTCATTCTTCTCTCTAAATCCTGAGTGGTATTTCCATCTCAGATGCAAACACAAAAGAAAAAAGAAAAAAATTAAGAAATTTCACATGAATATGGTGAGCAGTTCTCAGTTTTTGCGTGCAGTTCTTTGGACTTGCAGTTAAACTGGCGGCTATATTTCCTCTGGATATTATTCCACGCACAGCAAGCTATATGACTCATAGGTAGAACTAAACGACACTAAAACCTCTTTTTTGTTTTCTACACAATAGGATGTACCAGAAAATATTTGCGGCGAACGCAAATTTAAAATTCAATTTGCTAACAATAGACCACATACTGAGAAGTTAATTATACCATTAACTGCTTGTTTTCTATGGCGGACTTTGAAATGATCTTTTTAAAAACAACATCGCATGTTAGAATTGTTCAGTGAGTGGACGAGATAAATGTGTATTTACCCACATAACGCTACCTTATTATAACCTTAGAAAGAAAGAAATCCAGATACAACTTTTGTACTTTTGAAAAATGCGCTCCGTTAAATATAACATGTCCTTAACTTCCTGAAACGTTCACGACCCAGCGCTATCCTTGTTAACATTCTTTCTAATCATGTGGCGCAATGACAGTACTCGCAGCTCGCCCCATACCTTCTCACCGCTCGTCTATCCGACCTCGTTCCCAGGGTTCCCGCCCCTCTAAGGGAAAAGCCCTTTGAAGAGGTAGTCGTCTATACCGTTTTTCAGTTTCACGGTTTGCTTAAGTACGCTCGCGAGAAAATTTTCCAGTCGATAGATTTTTCTTTTAGTTTTTAAATTACTGCAGGTCAGATAATGAGTTACTTGTGTCAGAAATGCCACACACCGACTTCGTTTCAGAGAGAAAGCGTGTGGAAAACTACCCTGATTTTGAAAAATTGGCGCACAATTCAGTATGATCTAATGGGGTTTTTAGTACAAAATATCGAAGGTGAGTCTATGGAGGCAAACGATTTTAGTCATATTTTGCAGAAGTGGGTCTGTTGCGTAAATAATTCTAATTGTTACCAACGTTTTTTCTTTTAGACTCTAAGAAGCGAAATCGTTATCTTGTTTAAGTCAGACAAAACTGAAAACAGCGTCGCTGCTAGGGTCACTTATATGAAAAAAACAAAAAAAACAAAACAAAAACAAAAACAAATAAACAAACAAACGAACGAACGAACAAATAGCTAATCAATATCCACGTGCCTTTACAGAAATCCTTATATTTATGATTCTTTCATTTTGTATTTTTTTACCATTCTTTTCATCTTTTTCATTTAATTTTTTGGTGAAATAAAGGTGGATACGTTTGTCTTTATCAAATGAATAATAGACCCTGCTTTAATAAGCCAAGATATGTTTTATTTGTCAGCATTCAGCATTGTATAGAGGCAACCTAAATCCTTTCTAGTTTGTAGTCATTTGGTACTTTTTGCACTTTAATTTAAATTTAGTGCTTATAAATGTTCCACTCCTGTTAGGTTTGATTTATAATAATCATTAAGCAGAAAAGCATCAGTTTTAGTCACACAGCTGGCTCAAGAAAAATAAACGAAACTGTTGCTAAATAGTGGAGTTTCGACTTTAGGATCAAAACTGACCATCATCAACTGAAAACCAGAAATGAAATGTGTTGTAAATTCCTTAACCATTCGTCAAAACCCCAATATTCAATCTGATTTGACATTGGTCTTTCTTAGGATTAATGAGGTAAATTTGGATCCGTTTCGGTACTTATGCAATTAACATTTCAAGCGGTAGCTAGCCTGTTCAGTCTGTACATGTTCGCAGTGACGAACGGGTAATGCTCCAAACTAGAAGAGGTTTCGTTGTCAACGTTGGCCAATTACTTTTATCACCACCGCCCCCTCCCTCCCCAGCCCCGAAGACGAATAATTGCTGTTTGAGTCTGTTTTTTTTTTTTCAGTACTTTTTTCCACAATGACGAAGGACGTTACACCATCGAACTTCTTCTGTACCCTGGTGTACCCTCTTCTGATTGCAGTGCTTTCTCTTTCCATTTGTTGACAAAACCGTTCAGTTCACCACTTTTGCTCTTCTCCAGGTCTTCAACGCATAGTTCGTCAGTGAAATTCACATTTGAATTTTTTCTTGTTTGAGGATTTGCCTTCGGTTGGACGGATGATGGAGTAGGGCGACTCGGCCCTTTGTATGTTCTCCAGGATGTCAAAACGCGCCACTTCAGGGCTTCAACTCGAGCCTGCAAGAAAAAACATTTATTTGCTTTTTTTCTTAATTGTCTCAATTAACACCTATTTGTTAAAACTGACATGATAACAACAACAACAACAATCAGCAACGACAAAAACTTTTATTGCACCCCCAGAAATTCTAGACTAACAACAAAAATGATAGGGGTGCTGCCTAAGAGTTAAAAATGCCAGGCAGCCAGTTAAAAGAAAAGATATTTTACATGTTTAGGGCACGAACACAAACAAACAAACAAATAAACATAGAGACACACAAAATAGAAGAAATATACAAAGTTAAGCTAATGATAATGTTCGGTAAGCGTTGCGAAGTAGTAATTTGCAATATGAAAGTTTTTTTTTTCAATTTCCAACAGCCATTTTTTCATTGACAGGCAACAGGTGAATTTTGCAAACCATACATTTCGTATAACGAAGTCTCAGTCTTCCTTTTTTCTGTTTCAGTTCAAGTGACTCTAATAGTTTTATCACTTTATTAGCTTTCCTGTTCTTGAATATTGGAAGCTTATTGTATTACCTCTTTGTGGTTTTGCTTCGTATCCTTGTGGGCCTCAATCACTAGTTCCACGAGTAACACGAGCAGGCTGCTGGCCATGCCAAACAGCACACAGTAAAATACACCTGACAGGTCAGTGAACGTCAGCACATCTCCTGATGTATTTATTGATGAAGAGGCTTCTGAAGGCGGGGAAAAAATGGAAGAAAATTGGAAAAAATCTTTGAGAATTTAAACCAAAAGCAAGAATTGAATGAATGCATGTGCTCCATTTATCTGCAACTTTTGACACTTTGCATAAATGGCGCGTAAATTTTAATAACAATACTTCACACATCTTAAACCTCGTGTTTATGTTTTCAGACAAATGATATTTGAACGTGAGGTTTGAAATAGTTTGTTTTTTTGATATTTTCCCTGCAAGCATCAAATAACTGTACAACTATAAAAACAAAGAATCCTTGAAAGTATTGATACGTAAACCAAGTAAACTGAACTTACGGGAGTCTGTTTCATCGTTCTCGCACGTCCCAGTTAGCCATTTGCTTTTCATTGTCTCCATGTACCCCTTTTGTCTGAGTTCCAGCACATTGATGCTAAAGAGATGCGTGAATGGTGAATTCTTCTGAAGACCAAAGCCGTAACCAAACTTGCCAAATACCCTGAAGAGAACAGAATAAAGCGCATCATGCATTATGGTCATTACTAGTTATTCTCAAGCAAATTGATCAGCAAACCTACTATAAGAAACAGGTTTGGAAAGTTGTTTTCTGTTCAACTTGTCGCATGTAAATGCGTATGCCGGGATTATGGGTTGGAGTAATGGGTAGGGTCACTTAAATGAGCAATTCAAGCTTCATCCTAGGATAACTAAATATGTTTTACTTCATGCTAGTGTACCTTCCCACTGTGTACAGTGTATCACATGGTGGCTGATGTACGTGGTATTCAAGCACTGCGGAGTCAAATATGAAGGCGAAGTTTCCCTCGCGGACTCTTCTAATTCCCTCGGTGGAATTTTTAAGTATGTTACCACTGGACTTCATGAACTCCCACATCGTTACGTAGGTTGGAATGGTTGACATCTGGAAGTATGTTTGTGTTTGCCCGTTTCCGGGAATTCCGTACTCGATCCTGGTTTGACGAGCTAAATCCTCCACGGATTGCACTGGCGTTTGAAACCGTTGGACGATTAAGAAGGATGCAAGATTTGCTGTGTACGTGGCCCCTAAAAATTCAAGGTAAAAACGTTAAGTCTGTATAAGAGCCAAGTGGCCCATCAGGCCAGCGCGTGTTCTCAGCCAAGCGGCAGTAACAGTTCTCGTTCTGTGCAGTGGAAGTGAATTAATTTTGCGAATAAATTTGGAATTTCAAGGTATAATGAAAGTATATCTAATCATTAAAGAAAACCCTAGCGAGCGGTCCTACATGTAGGTTAACTCTCGGTTGTGCTCCTAGACATGACACTTAATTCTAAAATATTTCCATCAAGGAGTAAATGGGTACCCCTAGGAAGCCTGACGTACTGCTGCAACTGACGGGCTATCCGGCTATCATGAGTAGTAGCAATACTCCTTCAAGTTACGTCAAGGATCTGGCCCCAGGTGTTCAAAAAATGGATAACGTTATTCACCGGATAAATCACTATCCAGTGGATGGGTTAAACAAACAGACCACGCTGTCCACTGGATAGTGATTTATCCATCGGATAGCGTTAACCACCTTTCGAACAACCCGGGCCTGATGGGTTTGACGCGCAATAGACCGAATACCACGTAGGGGCCAAACCACCCCACAAATGTTTCTTCAGTTCTTGGGTATTTCACATTATTTCGCATTACTTAAAAAGTATTGACTCTTTCTACACCAAACTTGGCAGATGAGCAGGAGACCTATTGCCAATTATATTTACGTGAAAAATGTCGGTAAATGTCAAAGTTGTGACGTCACAGTGATGAACGTCATGTTTTTTGCCACTTTTGAAGTTTTTAATATGCATATTTTTTACAATGTGTTCGAAAGAGCACATCAAAGGGAGTTGAAACCTGAAATAATTTTGTCCATATCACAAAAATTAAATGAAATATGGCATTTTTTAAATATGAAAAATAACTCTACAAAATATGGGGTCCCCCCTTGAGAAAAATCCCCAAATTGGAGCTGTATTTTTTGTTCCAGCATATGCAGCTATGTTGCACATGTGATGTGCCAGATGACTAAAGCAAAAATAAAGAAGAAAATCGGAATAAAAAATTATCCCTCTAGTGTTATTGCGTTAAAACTAGTTTTGTTACGTCATAACCTGTGACGTCACCCGTTTTTTTACTGTCAATACCATCGTAACAAAGCCGAAAATCAAATTTCTAAAACCATACGATTTTTGACAAGGTCAAGCTTTCTATTTTTCTAGATTATCAGCCTTCCTAGAATAAAACTGAAAAAAATAAACCAGAGAGATTGACTTAAGAAGGACAGTATGGTTAAGTAAATTCCGGGGGAGACAACAAAAAAAATATTCAACTTACCATATCTCAAAAAATAATCATCAGAGCAAAAAATGGTTTCCGGCATTTTACTCCTCAAGTCAGGGCCTTTCCAATGACATAATCTTTACATAAGATTTTCCAAAAATTATAGCACGTTTTGGTGACGTCATCAATTATGAAGTCATATCTGACATTTTGTCACAACTTCCAAATTGAAATAAACTGGAGAACAAAGAAAGCTCATCTGCCAAACTTGGTTCAGAAATATATAAACCAAGCAAATATAGCCTTCATGAAACATCAGGGGGGTGATTTGGCCCCTACGTGACAGGCATTACCTTCACCTAATACTATCGCTGTGTAAGCGCTCCTACCATTTTCTTACCAATGATTAACACGGCAAACCACCACACGCCCACAGCAATTCTTCCAGACAGCGATATAGGATGTAAAACATCCGGGCCTTGACTGACGTAATACGCAAACGACGACCAAATGGCGTTAAAAAACCGTAAGTGGTCCTTGGTTTTGATTTGATCTGTCGTGACGGTTCTTTTGTCCCTGGCCTGTGCGACTCTTCCGTGATATCCGTACGGACTAAACGTACTGTGGAGCCAAAGAAAAACGCCGACGCTTAGCGTTGTCGACACTATGGCCAGCCAGAGATTGAAGTCAAAAGGACGAAGGAAAGAGAACACTTTATATTTGCTGTCCTCTTCTTTTCTCATTATGATCGACAAGCCAACGTCCATGTAGGGTTGAGTGAAATCGATCACTGTTTGTCTACTTGAGCTGATTGTGAATGGACCGATTACGAGATCAGCTTTCTGAAATAAAAGTTCAATGGATCAAGGATTTTCAAAACCCTATCAATGCTAAGGCTGTGTTTACACTTGGTGCCTGGGCGCCGGCACAAAGCAGTGATGCGTTCAGACACGTTGTACTCCAAAGACCCAAGTACCATTTATTACCAGAGTACAAGGTCGAGGGCACTGTGCCCGAATTCTTGTTTGAGTAGTTGGAAAAAGGTGTGTTCACATACGTGCCCAGCGAGAATCGTACTTGAACACCGTACTCGTGCACAAAGTGTGAACACAGCCTTATTCAAGACTTTCATTTCCCTAATTTGAAAGCACTTTATTCACATGTTCTCTGGGGAATTGGTCCTCCTTTATTTGTTGACAAATTATGCAGCCATGTATATCCATGGATACGAGTTTGAGAGAAACCGTTCTCTAGAGTATTATCAAATGATCTCAATTAGATTCAGTGCATGACGCATTGTATTACATAACATTTTATGATAGATCTAAAAATGGAAAATGCCAAACTTACATTATCGATGAGATATCGAACCATTCCATTCCATTCCCCAGTAAACACATCTGGTGCTCCGTACACATTTCCAGGCGATTCTTCAATCGTGTATCTGAATTTCATCTCTTCTTGTAGTTTGTCTAACAAGTCGATGCATAAGCCCGTGTAAAATTTCTGGCCAGTCTTAGATTCCTTAACGAACACAAACGGTTTTTCCTGCAGAAAAGCAAAATCAAATGACATTGCTCATTAACGTGCAACGATTGACTCCTTTCCTCATTGCGCAAATGCAGAAGAGTTCGCAGAAAATTTACTTCTTAGCTCGTTAAGTAAGAAGTAAAATATGTGTTGCAAACGTACAAAATCCCCACTTGTGGGCACCAAACAGGACTACTTGCATGTTAATTCAATTTCCAAAGCACGATAAGGTTTCATACTTACTATAACAGTCATAACTCTTATGGTGGTGTTCTCAACAAGTGTTGATGTATCCTTGGGAATATTAACAGAACCCGAAAGCCAGATGACAGGCTGTCGAGGATCCATCACTATACCATCTCTCGAGTTCCAATAACCCACCTGTGTAATACGTTCAGAACTATTAGGAAATACTGTTGACGCGATTTAACATTGCGCAGCCTAAGCCCTTATTGGAAGTGCTTAAACTTTGCAACGGTTTTATCTTAATATACTTATAACGATTCAATAAAATCTCAAAAACAAAATTTTGATATTAATAACTCTAGAAAGTTTAAGGGTGATGGCATAAATCCGATGAGTGACTAAGACGACTTTAGGCCCACTATGTCAGTATGTATATTGGAGTTGCTACTGACCAAAATAATGAACACACAGGCCGCTACCTATCAACACTTAGTATTTCTTGATGGTTCTCTTGACAGAGCCTACACTACTTTCTAACTGACCTGAATAAAGCCCGTTCTTCCCAAGTTAACAATATCATATTCAGCATAGCCAGGTGAACCACTCTCATCAAACGACAGGGTTGACATCAGACCATCAATAGAGACCTAAGACCAAAAAAATCATGCCGTATAGAATGTCTTAAATTATCTTGAGCTGTAAAGCCTCGTAATTAAAAAGAGAGACGAGTTGGATAGACAGGAAAAGTTTCAATTTTTTAACCAATATATGAAATACACTCTTTTTTGGTTCCGTAGTCCTCAAAAGACACTCTTAGTATATCTTTTCTTGACCCAATCCTGGATACCAAGAGGATAAACTGTTTCCGCTTTGAAAGACCCTGTAATGGATCTCTACTTACGACACGCTGAAACTTATATCGTAGCGATAAATGCGATGTGCATGTAAATACCCTTGCAGCTACAATCATTCGGTGATTGATATTACTTTCCATGTTTCCTATTGAAAGGATTACTCACATTCTTAATATATTCCATTAGCTTTTGACCAGGTGGCCAAGGTTTAGTAGTGATTATACCCCCAAAATCGAACTCAAGTGAGGTCTCCGTCACATCAAGTCCGTCTTTTATCATCTTGTCCAAAGCGGCTGCCACAGTAAGTGCAGCATCGTAGCTCTTGCCTCCAGGTGTCTGTTTAATTAATGCAATAAAACAATTATATTATAATTTACTGGAGCAGTTTTTAATTGAGTGTCGTAAAACCCAAAACCAAACCAATTACTTGCCAATTAGACTACTCAGTCAATCTCAAGCCGTAGTAAAAACAGAACCAAAATAACATTAATTGCATAATTACTTTCGACATGCTATGTTTTTTTTTTTCATAAACAAGTACTTACACTGACTCTATCGTGGCCTTTTGCATTCCATTCTTTACTGAAGTTTGGGTAGAGTTTACCAGTTCCGAATGATGGCCGTGTACCAATCACGCCGTAAAACTCATGAAGTGGATAGTCTCCTGGGATCAAGCTCCAGTCCTACGGGAAAATGCAACAAGAAGTCCAAACTGGTATTCGCGCATGCCAGGTAGCCCAGGCAACACATCTCTCCAATAATATTTTGGATACAAATGTTTTTTGAAACACGGCGAGAACCTCATAAGGACATTCCTCTACATACTGATCATGAACGGTATTATCGTATTTGTTTATTTCTACTGGGATAAATTATAAAACTTCATTGATTGCATATTGTTGGAACTCAATACCAACATGAACTTACTGTGCAAGTAAACATATTAAATATATTAAATAATTTGCAACTGCGATGATCAATGAACTTACAATCTATGAACTTACTGTATTGGTAGATCCATCAGTCACGATCCAGACCCAGTCCTTTAGCATTCCCATCTGCAAAGCTTGTGTTAATATAACAGCTGTGTATCTTGTAAGTGTGTTTAACACAACAATTCGAGTGCGTGTCTTTTGAATCGTTTCCAGCTGGGAAATCACGTTAAGAGTGCTGAAATCACTGACGGGATCAAAGTGCTCGTTGGCAGTGATTTTCCATCCTCTCTGATTTGCCATGTCTTTTAAAGCCAACAGGCCATTTATACCTAGAAACGTGAGTAGATCGGCCTGTTAGAAGACACTGTACTGAAGAATATAGAAAACAAGAAGGAAAAGTTAAACTGTATTCTGTTTAAATGGCTGAAACCCAAGTTAGCTTTATTTCGGGGATGGGCGTGTTAACTCTCAACGGAACTGAATTCCACATGCGTTCTTGCTTCACAAACAGGTTCAGAAACTAATTTAAGTTTGAGCTTACAAGTTTGGCTTAGACTCTGTTCGACCTGGACTCTGTTCCTTACTTAGGTCAAAGAAGGGTGCCAGGTTAACCATCACCTCATTTTCACTAGGCAGACACCCAGGGGGTGGGGGGACTACCATATGAAAAGGTCGGGGATGCTGGTCAGAACATTTGAATTAAACGCCTAAAGGAGATCGATCTGGGAGTGGCTTGGACTCTATTTGACCCCTAAAAGATGCCAATTAAAACGGAATAGGGTCGATTACAAGCCACTGTTCAGGAAAGGATCCCGCGCTTGTAGACCGGCTGGAGATACCAGCGGAAATCGAGCCTAAAAACAGAAACAAGAGCGTTTATTTTATTATTTCTTCGAGTGCACCCTAAAAGATACTTTGAGCGCAAAAATAGCGCCATTTCGCCATCAATACCCTAAGTGAAATCAGAATCCTTGATTTATTCCCGTAAGCGAGACGAAGAGCTTCCCCGACTTTTTCATATGTGAGTTCCCACCCCCGGCGCGGAGGGCAAACACATGTAGAATGGTGACAGATGGTGTGTGTTTTATCGAGTGTTTATGTTATGCCTCAATATGTCGAGTTTCCATTTTTGCTTAATTGTTACCTAGAATCATTTACAAGGAAAATTGAGATAACCAAGGGGAAAGAACAACTACAAACCGTAATCATCCTTAGAAGTTAACAAGGCAAATTGCGTCCAGTTATAGTGCGATATCAGTCCTGCCAATGCCTGACACTGAATCGTATCACTCGGACTGAGGCGAACAAGGTACGGAAAATTAGCTGGCGTGAACGAGAAGGTTGGATCAGTTGCCACTGGAGCAAGCTGTGGAATGTGAAAACCGGCGCAGTAGGGCTGGGTAAACTTGACTCCTGTTGAAGTCATCGGTCCAACTATGGCGACCACTCCTCTCTGCATTAGGTACTGGACTGTGAAGTAACGAGAAAAGATTAATAGACTGGCTTTGAGATGGCCTGCATAGCAAGCGTTACGAAGTCCCTTCTACGAGTATAACTGAGCATGACTAGTACTGTCGTTATTCTAAAACTCTTTTGTTTGCTTGTCTGTGTTTTTTTTTTTAATTTTAACATTAGTTACATTAAGGTTGTAAGATATTTCATTAAATCATTACATAATTTTGTGACACAAAAAGTTGAAAGTAGTTAGTTATCAAATTTCCGTAAATTTAACAGCTCAGGAAGCATTCAAGTTACTGTTTACCAGAATTCAAACACAATGAGGCGAATAGGGTATTGATAAACCTTGGGACGTGCTGTTCTAAGGACTGTTTTTCTAACTCGATCCCTTCTCCCCTATTTTGTCAAGCTTTGTTGATCCAAGGTGCTGAAATGGGTTACTGTCCACACACATCTGAAGTATTGGGTAGCTATATATAGATAGAACGAGGTTAAGAACGATAAAAAGAACGAGCAGAAAACTGTGGCATGCGAAGAAATCTCAGTTGTCGCGAACGTGCAACATTAAAAAACCTTTGATTTACACCCAAGCTCGAAGGCTTCTTCAACGGTTATTTTCCTTGCGAAATTCTTTTGTTTTCCTTCCATTATTTCAACGTGTGCACGGGACAAGAACAGTTCTGTAAATGCATTAAGTCAGCACACTTGAAATTTGATTTTTCTTTAAACAAAAATCTGTCCAGACATTAATAACAGTATACACACGTACTTATTGATATTATCACAATGCTTTTTTCCTTCAAACCGCACACTAATAAAAATACCCGAATGCAAATTTCCTTGCTAGGGGACATTTGTAGCGATAGGGGAGCCATTTATATGTATAAGCTCGTTATCTTTGATTTCTTGACGCAATTTGATCCACACGTTCAAGGTGAAAATTCAAAAAACAATTTTTACACTCTGAAAACAAAATTGTCCTGTCTCTAAAAGTAAATCATAAGTATTTAGTTTTGCAGTGAAGTCTTTGAATTACTGAAAATTAAGGATTTGTGTAGCTTTTGTTCCTCTAAAATCCATGGTTTACTGGGTTTCTAACCATGCGGCCGCCATTGCCGCGACAAACTACAGCTTATTTTCTTCGCAATATCTATGGTAGCTTACTACCTAAGCAAAAGCATATCCGTTAAAACACTAAAGATGATCAGATGTTATGAGAAACTTTCACTTATTTCCTGTCCTAGATGGCTTTATTTGCCACTTACCCATTTCAATGTTTTTGAAAGCATCCAGCGTTGCAGTTTTGTTAACAATCACTCTAAGCTCCGTATTCGGTAACAGTGACTTGTCCTTGTTTATTGTGTCGATGGCGAATCTAAATGCGGCCTCGTAGTCTGCTTGGAGCTGATCAGAGAACACAGCACCTACGCAAACAAAGAGAAGTACAGTCAGAAAAAAAAAAGAAGTAAAAATGTAAAACATACCAAGGAAATGGATACCAGCCTATTGTAACAAATCTGGGAAGCGAAACGGCTCGACTTATGCCAACATGAACTTCGAAGAATGCAACCATATGGAATGAAATTAAACTGATCAGAACTCCTTTATGCATTTCTTTGACCAAGGAAGATCTCGAAAGATTTATCAAAATAGCCAGAAAAGTTCACTTCTATCAAGTGTTGTAATGTTTAGATCGTTGGAAATGGATGATGTTCAGCATAAAGTCAATTACATGTCGCTGAGCTCTGACATCATACGCTAACAGTGGTTGTGAGCCAATAAATGCTGACAATAAACGCAACAATTTCAAGACCCCGTACTGTCTTGTTTTGCAATTAGCATGGCCATCTTGAACGTTACGCCGTAGGAATCCAATTTCTTACGCTTGATTTCTTATTGTTATGCTAATGCATGGTCTGACTTTTTGATTAAAATTATTAATAACTTTCCTCGACAATACTGTTTTGCAGATTTCTAAAACAAACCCAAACAAAAGACACAGCTCATGAAGGTTTCCTCGGGCAAAGCTGGGATGGTATTACATTATAGGTTTAAAATTATCACATATGTTCCATTATAAGGACTATAAGCATTTCATTTGCCATTTCCATTTCATTTGCAAATGTTCCCAGAGAATACCTATTTCTAGCTATAGAGTTCTCAGTCGTTTTTAAATATATAACAGTTTTAGTGTCCCTTGATTTATTTTAAAAACATAGAGTAAAAGAAAGCTAATTCATTTTTTTTTAACCAAGAACGGATATTGATACAACGCATCAATTTCGGGCAAATAAAAGAGCTATTTTGTAATTCGCGTACTTGTAAACCCGTCCATGAAGATAAGTTGTTAGGAAATTTTAACGTCAAAAACAAAAGAAAAAAGTAAAAATAGGCCAGGATTTTTCACATAAGCGATGCTCTCGGTATCTTTTGTAACTTTTACCGTGCGGTTACTTTTAGTCCTAAAGAATATGATTTTTTTCATTTACTAGAAGCAAGATACCCCTTACAACTAAAATGCCAATAGCAGTTGTAATTGAATCCCGAAAGGAACAATTTAATCCGGCGCCATACCTTATTAAGAATGACATCTTTGTCTCACTACTTTTCTTATTTTACAAAATACTCCAAACAGTTCTTAATCACCGCAGCAGGAAAAAGCATAAACTGCCAGTTTGGTTGTTTTTAAGGGCGATCTAGTGGCTCGTTTTCTGTTATCTGTACCTATATAACATCCGGGTTAAATGGTTTCCTTTCAACATTCATGAAGGGGTTTCCCCTCAAAGTGAAAAAATTAACTACCAGCGTAATTTAAAAAGCACTTGATTTTGCAGCTCAAATGGTAAAAAAAAAAACATAATACGTTACGTTCTGAATTTTAACTCTTTCAGGGCATGGCTTTTTTCCTTTCTGGGAGGGAACTGGTGAACCATAGTTAACAGGCGACTACAAGAGGCACCACAAGGCAAACAGGGCTAGTGCACTAAAAATGTCTGTGATTTACTTACGAGCTACTGTTCCCCAACAATCTGCGAGGCGCTGAAGTTATTCTGTCTAGATTTTGTTCTAACTAGATTTAACAATTTACCAATGGAAACATTCCGTAGGATATTTAAGGTCAAAATTATGGAATTCACTAATAAAAAAGCTTACAATACGTCCCTCAATCCGTAAAAAAACGGGTAACCCTAGGTGGCTCATAACGGATCCTAGAGATTTATTCCGCAAAGGTTGCAGTCATGTATTAAATTTCATAGAAGACGGTTTAGTATATGTGATTTCTGTAAATTTTCGTAAGTTTTTCACGTTGACTAAGTAGGTTCAGTCAATGTTTTTGCATTATTTAATTGACGGTATTGGAGTGGTTTTCAATCGAGTGTCGTTAAAGCAAAAAGCCAAACCAATTACTTGCCAATTAGACTATTCAGCCAATGTCAGACCGTGTTTTAAGCTCAAGTAATAGCAGAGCGATTAATAGTCTGATTATTTTCGATTCCCATCTGAAAACGGCCCTAACAGTATGTTGGTGCTGTTTTTCTTTTCTTTGTTCTCACCTTGTACGAAATATATGTTTTTTTCTCGTTTCTATCGAGCCGCAAGTAACGTGGCTCAATCAATTCTAGCTAAGTTTTGTATATAAGCTCAGCAGACTGGTCACAATCTTTCAAATACATTATTTACAGCCCGTTATAGCCAACCTGGACCACGAAGGAATATTTCAGCAACTCAGCACATTAATTATGCTTTGTCTTATGACATGTTCTCCAAAAAATGGGGTTATGTTGTTTTCCATGGAACCAGTTATTAGGCTAGATGCCCTTTAAAATAGACGCCTATTAGGCTAGATGATGCCTGCTTGGGCTAGATGCCTGCTGGACTAGATGCCTGTTAGGCTAGAGGATGCCTGTTAGTTTAGATGATGCCTTTTGGGCTAGATGATCACTGTTGGGCTAGATGCCTGTTAGGCTAGACGATGCCTGTTAGGCTAGATGATGTCTGTTAGGCTAGATGATGCCTGTTAGGCTAGATGATGCCTGTTAGGCTAGATGATGCCTGTTAGGCTAGATGATGCCTGTTGGGCTGGATGATGCCTGTTGGGCAGGATGATGTCTGTTAGGCTAGATGATGGCTGTTGGGCTAGATGATGTCTGTTAGGCTAGATGATGTCTGTTAGGCTAGATGATGCCTGTTAGGCTAGATGATGCCTGTTGGGCTGGATGATGTCTGTTAGGCTAGATGACGCCTGTTAGGCTAGACGATGTCTGTTAGGCTAGATGATGTCTGTTAGGCTAGACGATGCCTGTTAGGCTAGATGATGCCTGTTGGGCTAGATGATGCCTGTTAGGCTAGACGATGTCTGTTAGGCTAGATGATGCCTGTTAGGCTAGATGATGTCTGTTGGGCTAGATGATGTCTGTTGGGCTAGATGATGCCTGTTAGGGTAGATGATGCCTGTTAGGCTAGATGATGCCTGTTGGGCTGGATGATGTCTGTTAGGCTAGATGACGCCTGTTAGGCTAGATGATGCCTATTGGTTTAGATGCCTCTTAAGCTAAATGCCTGTTAGACTAGCTGATGCCTGAAGGGCTAGATGCCTGTTAGGGTAGATGATGCCTGTTGGGCTAGATGACTGTACCTGAAGGGCTAGATGGTGCCTGTTGGGCTATATCATGCCTGTAGGGCTAGATAATGCCTGTTGGGCTAGATGATTGTACCTGTAGGGTTAGATGGTGCCTGTTGGGCTATATCATGCCTGTTGGGCTAGATGATGCCTGTTGGGCTAGATGGTGCCTGTTGGACTAGATGATGCTTGTTGGGCTAGATGATCCCTGTTAGGCAAGATGCCAATTAGGCAAGATGCATATAAGGTTAAAATTCACTGTTCAGTAATTTAATAAATAAGATGGTCTAGCTCTTTATGGTATGGTAGGAAAAATCTTTTTTTGGTCTTCTAACTGTCAAAAGCATGTAAAAAACAAGGCAAGTAAAGAGAAAAGGTAAGTCCAAAATTGAGTCAGAATGTAACAATTAGCAAATCCCTAAAACAACAAAGGCACGATCTTGCAAGTCGAATCAAGTTGATATACAGTTTGCAGGTGCTTCGCTCCAGGCTGTTTACCGTTGCGCTGATGTGTTTTGGTAATTTAATTATCTAGAGCGAAAAAATCTCCTATTTGGCTGTATTAGGAATTCTGTGGCCTTCAATTTCCTCAATAAACGGGTAGAAATTCTTGCAGACGGCATATTAAAGGTAACTGGGTCCTCCCACGTTGTACAGACGCAAAACCTGGCAATTTCGTTATAATAAAATGCTAACCTCGGCGCCGACTCTAAGAAATCATTAATTCGCCCCTCAATCCGAGGTAATTTCTTTTATGTTATTCTATGGAGTCTCGTTGGAACTTTTACATGCCGACGTTGACGTATTAGTAAAAACAAGATTCATTCGTTCAATAACAACAATACTTTATTTACTCTTGACAGTTAATACACATTTGCGAAGAAAATTGCAATAACTTCGGGGGAAGATATGTGTTTTAAAACGAGCCAGGGGATAAATGAACCTTGCGGTTTTGAGCATTATTAAATTTAAACATACATTCGCTCACCCCGCGGTGAAAACAAAACATTTTGTCAGCGTTATACAAATTTGGTTTGCACTGAACCAATCAGCGCATACACTTTCTGCTAGGCTACATAACGTCTAAGAATCAGTGTCAATAATTCAAGCCCGTACACTATCTTAGCCAAAAGGGTAAATACAGTAATTAACTGCGGGAAGTGATCGTTGAACGGCTACAAAAACAAAGTTTTTCAAGCTCTTTTAAAAGGAGTAAAAGGTGAGTATTTCTTAAATTGTGCGAAAGTTTCCATAGTGCTTCCACCTTGATTCATTATTCATCTTTGATCAGTACGTTGCAAGGGAAACCCCTCGTCCAGAATTGATAAATGTAAAAAAATAATTCTAAATTCAAGACAAGCAAATTTATTAAATAACGTCCAAAGTTGAAAGAATCCCAGTTTAAATTAATACACAGGATTGTAGTTACTAAAAAGGAGCTTCATCGATATGGTATTAAAGCGGATGATGAATGTCTCTACTGTGGTGAGAAAGATTCAATTGATCACGCTTTTCTTGATTGTCGATTTGTAAAGATTTTCGCAAAGTGAGAACGTAATTGACTGGTTTAACGCGGTCAACAACTCAAAATTTGCTCCAACAATTGAAGAGAAACTATTTGGAATCATATCTAGTCCATACGAAAAAGAAATCAGTATTAAAGAAATTTAATTACACAATCCTATTTATGAAGTACTACATATACACCAGTAAGATGCATAACCAAGCTATTTACCTTTCTGTCTTTGTTAATAAATTTTACTTAAATACAGAATAGAAAGCTTTAGTCATTAGCAACGAAAAAATGCCCCTCGCAAAAGCGCAAAACCTTACATGTAATTAGTTAACTTGTAGATAAAAGAAATGTGAACGTTACTACTGTTTATATGTGATAGTTGTTGTAATTACCAGTAGTGCAGGAAACCAATAAAGTACTTTATANCCCCCAAAAAAAAATAATAATAACGCCCAAAACTATCAAACTGACAAAGTTGGAGCCTCTGTAGCTATCTTCGTCGATAATCCTACTTGGGGATAAATTATTATATCTCAAAAAGAAATGCGGTAAATGTACAGTTGCGACATTGTTTTGTTCTAGAATCAATAAATCACGTATTTGACAAGGAGTCAGAGTACACACTTTTGATATTGTTTTTTCCCCTAAAGGGAAATAATACTTTGATCGATCAAGACAGGTTAACCTAATATCATCTTGAGGATCCTTCATTTTTTCACAGAAGATTGGAAAACCCAGGAACCCTATACAGACCGTGCTGTTTTGCTTATGTGAACATCACTCTGTAACTCCTAGAGCATTGAAGTCATTGAAGTCAATTATCGTAAGTTGCCAAATGTTTGAAGTTCATTACGAGGACTGATGACGTCTCATGACTTAG